ACCTAGTTTGGAGGCTCTGGGAACACTTTTCTGTGGAACTAATGCCCCAGATATATCTGAAAGATGAGTAGGTGTTAGTCGGGTGGCTGGCTGGGGATGGTTCCAATCAGAGAGAATTCACCTATCCTGGATTAAGAAGGGCACCAGAAAGGAGTGAAAGGAGGCTTTGTATCTGAATTTCAGAAGATGAGGCTGGAAAGGAGCAAGGCCAGGGCTAGGAGAACCTGTTAGGGATTTGGGTTCTTATTTGGAGAGTAATGGGCAACCACCAATGAGGATCAATCAGTTGGAGGAGGAAGTTACCATGAGCTTGGATCTCTGCTTGCGTCCAGAGCTCCCGACCCCCAGGGGCTGATGCTTCCAGGTGGGACTGACTGTAGACAGCTTGCCTTGATGTATCTGGCATCCCAGAGTGGGGGTGGCGCTCCAGCCATTTTGAGAGATTCATAGTGTGCATTTGATAACATATCGAACGCCAGAGAACTGGGTGGAAAGGAAGCTTATTTTGATTCACATTTCCTCACTCACACAAAAATGTTCCGAAAGCCCTAAACTAGAGGAGAGAATGTATGCATAATCTGACACTTGTATTTGGCTCTAGAAATCACAAATGTAAAGAGCTCAAGTGGCATGGTCGCTTGTGTGTCCGTATTCTGCACTCCTGAAATTCCCTTGGATTCACACTGCCCTCCTCTGGCCCCTGCTTGGGGTCTGGGACCTACCAGTGAAAGAAGGGTGGGCCCACTTGGGTAACTGAGCACTACTCATTTATTCCACAGTGGCTTACAGTGGTTGAAATTTACATAGGGACTCAGGTGAGAGCAAATTATTCTTGCAGATAACGTGCTGTAGATGTGGAAATCTGTTGTCGGTTCTCATACAGCTATGAGCACACCATGTGCATAAAATGCATGAACATTATTCAATGTTTTTTCTCAATATGTTTGACAAAAATTTAGAGGAACAAAAATAAGGGAGTTCATTAATAGAACTATAGTAGGAACTACTTGTTATCAAATATGTAATTATGGAGTCTAATCATCTCATCTCTGGTTTTTACTATAGTCTGTCCTCTAAAACAAGTGTGGAAGTGGAGCATTCTATATATCCTAAGTGCCAAAAATATTCTCTTCATGAAATTCACCAAATCTGCAAAAACCGGCTCCTTTTGAAGAGAAGAGCCAGGGAACTCCATTAGTAGGCTTTGATGGCATTAATAATTCAGAGAGGCGCCAGCTATCTTCTTTGAGATAGACGGAAGGGTTCCTTTTAATGTATAACCAGGCAGTAGAGAGGAGAGGACATGGGTTAGAGAGAGGAGGAGGTTACAAGCCAGCACCTGTGCCACACCGGGGGATGGAAGCTAATTGTGAAAAGCTGCCCCACTACAGCTGCTGCCTTTTGAAAAATGCAAACTGTGTTTTGAGCAAACATATCATCCGCTTGTAAGTATCTTAGATTCCTGACAGATCTGATTATTCCCTCCTCCCCACTAGTGGCTTCATCTTATCTAATTAGCGTGTGTGAAAGTTGATTTCTTTTTTAATCAGGACGCTATGGAAGCAAAATTAATTTGTGATTTAATCTTAACTCATGGAAGCATTAATGATAATTAAAAATTATTCTAAAAATTAAAAAAATTTTCATGCACATTTTTGATATGTTGTCATGAGAGTATTAAGATATCACAGATAAGTGGCTTCCAATATTTCCAGCACTTGAAAATTTTAAAAAATGATGCTTCTCTCTGAATTCAGTATTCCTGTAGTAATGGAGAATCTGGGAATCAAAGCGAGTATTTCTGTTAAAAAAATTTATTTCTCCTGGCAGATAAAAGCTTAGTAGCATGAAGTTAGTGTATGGTCAGGTCATAGTCAGAGCTGGCTGAAAAATGTAAAAATCAATAAGAAATGATGCTTTTTTGTTATTATCAAACATCTGTTGAGGGCTTAGTAGGTGTTATTCAGTGATAGTGAAAAACCTGATTTGGAATCATAACTGCAGTTAAATAAATTAAATGAAAAAGTGAAAAAACCTCATCATTATTGGAAAAAGGAGAGAAAATGTTCCATATTTAGCCATATCATATGTATTAGTTTTGAGATGGCAGAAGCCAAACCAAAAGATGGCTGGATGCATCATGAGAGTTTTTGGTTATGAAGGAACTAAGATTTGCTGCTGTCACTTAGAGTTATAGAATTTGTAGTAGAGCAATGATCTGTGAATAGGTTAGAGAGGTCCTGGAGGTCCCTGAGACACTTTTAGGGAATCTGCAGAATCCTCCCTTTTCCAACTAAACATCTGTGGGAAGCCCCATTTTTCCCACATATTTAAATCAAAGCAACATATGACAACAGGTTCAGCAAAAGTAGATGTAAGAATCCAGATGTCTTTTATTAAGCAAAAATTACAGAGGTTTGCAAACATTCAAAACAGTGGAACTCTTCTAAGTAAGTGTTTTTGTTTTAGAAAATAGTCATTTGTTTAAATAAAACTATATTATTTATGTTAACGTAACGATTTTATTTTCATTAGTGAAATAGAGCTTTAAAAAATTCTCAGTTTGAATTTCTAATATTGTAAATATGAAGAAATATAATTCATATGAACAAAAAGCTTTTTGGAGTTCTCATTTATGTATAAGAGTGCAAATGATAGCACCTTACGCCTGTAAGAATAATTTTTTTTTTTTTTTTTTTT